ACAATTGCTGCTTGGAACGGGCTTCTGTAGTCGTGGCTAGGGAATGAGGCCAAGGGCACAAGCGGGCCAGTCTGTTCTGTTGAGGTGCAGTAAACGAAGTCACTTTCTAAGAGCTAAGCAGGCTTTTTCCCAGGAGCCACAATGGCCACTGCTGGAGGGATGGTTGCCTGCCAGGGCGTCACAGTGCAGATCCCTGTGGGGGGAGGCAGATACCCGGAAGCACACAGCAGCGCCCTCTCCCCTGCCCCGACAGGCACCACTAATCGATGGTGGCACTCTTAGCCCCAGCTCCAGTGATCCGCTCAGGATCCACCCAGGATAGCGTGTGCCGTGCAGTCGGCCTGCTGTCCCTGGCAGGGTCATGGATCTCCTTTCCCGTCTGTAAGATGGGCTCACACCTTCCTGTTGCAGGGAAGGCTTACGAGATCACCTACGTGAGGCTCAAGTTCCACACCAGTCGCCCCGAGAGCTTCGCCATCTATAAGCGCAGCCGCGCCGGGGGCCCCTGGGAGCCCTACCAGTACTACAGCGCCTCCTGCCAGAAGACCTACGGCAGGCCCGAGGGCCAGTACCTGCGCCCCGGCGAGGACGAGCGCGTGGCCTTCTGCACCTCCGAGTTCAGTGACATCTCCCCGCTGAGCGGGGGCAACGTGGCCTTCTCCACCCTGGAGGGTCGACCCAGTGCCTACAACTTCGAGGAGAGCCCCGGGCTGCAGGTCAGAGAGGAACGGGGCCTAGGGGTTGGGACTGGCAGGAGGGTGGCCCAGAACTGGACCCCAGAGGGTCCCCAGGTCAGGACCCACAGCAGGCCTGTGAGATCCGTGGCCTTCCAGCTTGACGGCACGGAAGCCTGGGTCTAGATCTTTTGTGGGCGCCTGACGGTGAAGCGGCCATGGGGGGGCTGTGCGGGCGAGCAGTCCCTTCTCTCACCTCCTGCCGCGGAGCCCTTGCCCCCGGGAGCCTGCTGGCAGCCCCAGCTCCCGCAGCCCTGTCTTGGATGGGTGGGGAAACAGGCCTGGGGATATGCCTGAGTTGGAGGCAGGGTCCAGACGGGAACCGGTGCCCAGCCCCCTGCTGGCGCTCTCCGGCCTCACTTCTCTGGGAATGATTCCTGGGCCTGTCCGTCCGGGGGTCCCCTGAGGTGCTCATCTTCGAGAGTGCAGGGGAAGGACGTGGGCCCCAGTGCGGGCTGTGTCCGAAGCTGTAAGGTGGTGCTGACCAGTGAGTCCCTGATGGTGGAACGGCCTCCGGCCGCCCAGTGGCAGGGGCGGCCACGCACCGCTGTGGCTTTAGGGCACTCCCACTGTGACTAGGTGCCGAGGAGAATTATTATAAGAGTGTATTTGGCGTTGATGAGTTTGGCGTGACTCGCCTGTGACTAGCGGCTGCCCACCGCAGAGCCTCGCTGTGGCGTGGCGCATGGCGTGGCAGAGCAGACGCGGCCTGTCGGGGTCGGCACCGCATATGCCCGCCTTCCTGCGTGTCCGCAGCAGATGGTCGCAGATGTACCAGCCTCCTGGGCCTCGTGGGCCACTGGCCGGCTCCCGGGCCACCCCCTGGGCTCTGACAGGCCTCGGCAGTGAGGCCTCCACCTCCCGTTCCAACTTTCAAAGCTCCTCCTTTGCCTCTGGGATGGTGAGGGGCTGGGGTTAGAATCCTGTCTTTTTTCCAGAGGGGACATTGAGGCCCAGGAAGAGGTTGTGTCCTGCCCTGGGTGGGTGGCACAGGAAGAGTGTGGTTCGGGGGTCCCCAGGGCCAGCCCAGGCTTAGCAGTTCACTCCAAGGACCAGCCACTGTGCTCGTGGGTGTGCCTGACTGCAATCGGAGGACACGGGCGGAAACCAGCCAAGGGCGGCCTGCCCAGGCGGGGGCCAGGTGACAGGCAGCAGGCCTCCAGGCATCCTCCCCAGGGGACTCGTGGGTGGCACTTCCTCTCCCAGTGACAACATGCAGAGTGTCGCCGCAGGGAAGCCCACCCAGTCTGAAGTCCTGTTTTTACTGGAGGTTGGCCATGTCAATGTGGCTGACCGCTTGTGCGACTGACCTGGGCCCCTCGGAGGTTAGGCCCGTACCACGTGGCCCGAGGTCAGCACGGAGTGTCTTCCGCCACCCAAGGGAAGACATTCTTCCCAGGCAGGAGACCGGGGCTGAGGGGACCCAGGGCAGAGGGCCAGACCTCCCTTTCGACGAGGGGTGACTGTGGCACCCAGAACCTCCTCTGCAGACACCAGCCCCGTGGGTGCCCGTAAGCCCCTGATGTGTCATTGCTGTGGTCTCGCTTCTGCCCTCCTCTGCTCAGGGCTCCGGCTCTGGGGTTTAGAGGTCAGAGGACAAGCCAGGCCCGCCCTGATGCTGTCCCTGCTGGGACGAGATTGAGACCACATATGTTCTGGACATTGTCCCGACGAGAGCAGCCGTTCACAGATGGCCCCCTGCTGCTCCCAGGCCAGAGCCAAGGCCAGAGCCCCGATGTGTGGATGTGTACCTCAGCCCTGCCTGGACACATCGGGGGCGGGGAGGGTGCTTCCTCAGAGAGCAAGGAGTGTGGGCGGAGGGACAGACGGCCATATCTGTGCAGTGGCTGCATCTCGGGTCCCCCAGGGAGGACGAAGGGCCCTGGGGAGAAGGCAGCCCCACCATCGGAGTCAGGCCACCAAAGCAGAGGGGTCACCTGAGCTCCGCTTGCGTCCTCCAGGTTCCTCCTCCTCCTTCGTGCCTTTGGATTTGTTCAGTTTTTTAAAAATTATTCATGAATTTCTCCCATGAGTCAGAGAGACAGAGACGGCACCCCCATGAGGGCCTTGACGCCATAATCCGCCCCAGCGTCAGCCAACCTGGCGGCCTCAGGAGGGTCTCAGGCAGAGCCCCGTTCCGCCCTCCTGTGCCAGCCTCCCAGAGGTAGCGTTTGCTGTGGCACCACCATCTGGGGCCCCAGATGGAGCCATTGTGGGTGCCAAAAGCCCATTGCCTGGGCACCGGAGGGCTTCGGGTTGCCCTAAAGTGGCCTTTAAGGCACAAATTATGCCCCCTACGATTTGGGCTAAAGGGACCAACTCCCCACCCCAGCTCCCATCTTGTGCCTCATGGTTCTGACCCACTGTCTTCATAGGCTGATGGGGCAGGTCAGAAAGTGGACTCACGAGCCCAGAGAAGGGTCCCTGTGGCCAAGACCTTGGGCCGACCTTGTCCTCTCCGGTCCCCATGGGTGTGATGGGCAGGAGGGAGGACACAGGAAGGTGGGGTAGTCTAGTGCTTAAAGCTAGGACCCTGGAGGGACCAGCAGGTGCATGGCGGTTAAGGCACTGGACTCCTATGTGGCCAACTGTTGTTCGAGTCCTGGACCTGGCCGCTTGAAACTCATGCCAGGTGTGTGTGCATGTATGCCTAAAATCCCGAGAGGAGAATGGAAGAGAAGGGGTTGCGACGTGGCCACCCCCTTTGGGGAGTGACTTCTCTTTTTCTGCCTCTCCGTCTCTGTCTCTGGTGAGCACACATGCTGTATTGCAAAATTCTCTCAAAATAAAAACACCCAAAAACTAGGACCCTGGGGTCAGAGACATCTGAACACGAGCTCTGCCACGTTCCCGCCTGGAGCGGAACGCCTGCCCCGTCTGAGCCTCAGTCGCCTCATGGTAGCGGGGTGGCAGCTGCATCCCAGGGCTCTCTGCGCAGACCCAAGCACAAGCACACAGCAGTGCCCGCCGCCGCACCCTCCAACGCTGCTATCCCTCTGGTTTGCATTCTTAGGTGACACATCTCTGGAGAATGAAGAGTCGTGGCACCTCTGGCCATGGGCTGCTGGGTTCCCCGCCCCTCGGCAGGTCCAGGCGGCACAGCCCCATGCCTGGCCGCATGCCTGGTGCTGGTCTCCAGCCCGTGTGAGACCCCTGGGCCAGAAGCATTTTAGCCAGAGCCCTGCGTGCACAGCGGCCTCTGAAAGTGCAGCCTGGGGTGGTTCGTGGAGGGGCGGAGCCTGCAAGCTCAGTACTGAGACTCCCACCGTAGGTTCAGGTGCTGGACCTCCTCCGGCAGAGGCCCAGGGTCCCGACTGCGGCTCTGGCCGTCCTGAGCTCCTGAGTCATGCTGGGTGAGAGGACGGACTGCCAGGAGCTCGTTTTCTGTGCCGATGAGCCTGATTGCTGAACCAGGGGCTCCTGGCTGAATTAGCGCTGATTAACATGCAGCGGGGCCACCTCTGATGCTAACAGCAGGCGGAGGGAAATGTCAGTCTGCACGTGGGTTCCCACTTCCCCACCCG